GGCGCACCGTCTCCCTCCGCGACGACCCCCGCGCCTCCCAGTTCCCAATGGGCGACTACGCCTACCTAATGCAACAATTCTCCCTCGCCCTCTCCATCCCCATCTCCCTGCCCGCGAGCCCCCTCACCCCGGCCCTCCCTCACAACAACAAACCAATGGACATACTCACCCCAGCACGCTACCTCTCCCCACTCGCCTCCGAGTCCGCAAAATCCGAAGCCGAGAAGTCTCTAGCACAAACAAACGACACAGCAGTCGCAGGCCTAACCACATCCCGCTTCGTGCCCCGCGCCGTCTTCCGCAGCTTACTGGGAACATGGAAGCTAGAACGCGATCTCACGAGCAGATTACCGAGCCACCCAAGCGGCCACTTCAGCGGGACAGCGCAATTCCTCCTCCGCAACAAGACCGCCGACGGCCTGAAGTGCGCCTCCAGACCCGCCTCCGCGGATGAAACCCCAGACGCCAACGACGACGGCGCCCTGGCGACAGAATACCTCTACATCGAAGACGGCGAATTTCGCGCCTCAAACGGCCTCGTCTTCCGCGCGACCCGCCGCTACGTCTGGCGCTACGACGAAAAGAAAGACACAATCAGCGTCTGGTTCGCAAAAGTCAACGAGCCGAAGCGGGCAGATTACCTCTTCCACGAGATCGAGTTCGAAGGACCGCCACAAGATGACCAGAAGAACCCCTGGCAGGCAAAGGCTGGGCACCTTTGCATTGACGATTATTATGACGTAAAGTACGACTTCACCTTCAAGGCTGTCAACCTCGAGGAGTGGAATATCAAGTATACTGTCAACGGGCCACAGAAGGATTACACGATACATGGCATCTATAGACGCTAGAAAGATCAATGACTAGAAGACGGATGAAGCGAAATCTTACATCTCAGGCTTTGAGAATCTAATCATTTCTATAGGTAATACTTTTCTATTTCCTGTAATTGTCCATCATTCGCTATCGGCCAGCATTGCTGAAACCAGCATAGCCCAGTGTGCAGTCTCGCTATTGCACACCTCCAAAGATAACATTTTCCATCCTCGCCACTGGAAACACATCAGTATCGCTCACCAGGATGTCAGCGTTTGTCCTGTGCCGCCTAATAGTTCATCGTCAGTGACCAATCCTAGCCCGTCTACAACATCGTCAAATCCCCATCGCCGTCCACCTTTCGCATGCTTCCGTCACCCAAGATTGCATGCCTTCGCACGAGCTTGGTGTTTCCGGTGTTCAATGCCCAGCAACGAGCCAAGCCCTCTCTTCCAAACGCCCAGATCATCATATCAGGGCCTAATCCCATCGAAAGGTCGACGATGCCAGAGCAAACGGCAACGACTTGGCCGTAGACATCAATTGGAAACTTTGGCCTTGGGTTCCGGTTGTCCTTGCTGTTCAACCCGCCGTTCTTGGCTTTGAGAAATTGTTGAACTGTATGCTGCAATGTCGGCCACCAATGAGCCCATTGATGTTCCCCTTGGCTGTCGACCAAACTCAGGAGGCTGTTAGTGCTTGAGAGATCTCGGAACATATCTGGTGGGATGGTGTAGAAAGCGAGAATTTGCTCCCCTGGTTGGAACCCTTCTCCTTCCGTCCACCGTGTCGTTGGGAAAACGGCAGCAATTCTCACACCATGTACCAAGTCCCTCCCAACGGCATACATGAGCGGCGCACTTTCGCATGCTGCCGCTGGTGGACAAAACTTCACCTTGGTCACAATGCCCCGCCTCGACCATTTGGTATCATCACAAACCAGGCTCAGGTACCTAGTCTTGGGGTCTGTAAAAAGGATGTGAGACCCGTCGCTCAAGGGCACGGCTCGATAGTTGTCGGCAGTGGATAATCTAGGCCTTGGGAGGACTCTTCCCGTTCTTGTCCACTGGCTTCTTTGATTGGCAAAGGGACCGAGGGAGGCGGACAACTGCTGCTCCATGATGGTATAGACGTTCGAAGCGTCTTCCTCTAGTTCAGACGTCTCAAGTCGTGAGATGATAACCGGGACTTGGGGGGTAAAGTTGATTTCATTGAAGCCAAGCCCACCCAATACGTCTTGCAGCGAGCCGGCGTGGCAGTCTGAGATTGACGCAGCGCTGATCAGGCGAAGTTTGCGTCTTGGGTCGTTTGCGTCACCCGGAGGAAGGAAATAGATGTAGTCGCTGGGTGTGGACAAAGCAAAGCGGCGGGCATTTTGCTTTGCACCTCCATCATTGTTATGTATCTCGATAGCCGAGGAGCTGCCAAAGGCGACGTAAGAACGATGAGGGCAAATGGCGACGGAGCGAGGAGGACAGTCGGCCGTGCCCACGTTGTAGTGGGTGGATTGTAGCTTTGCTTGCAAAGGCAGGGAGTGCGGTATTTGCTGTGTGTCACAGTTACACAGTTTGTTTTGGGTTGAGTACTTGATGGGCAATACGGGTAACCCTTGGATTTCGAAGACAAGGCCAAGACGGCCTTGAACGAGCACAGCAACATGGTTGCGTGCCCATGTCGTGTCCATAGCGCAGGCAAGTACAGGAGATCCGCAGTTAATGACAGTGATAAGTCGAAGTTGGCCCTTGCGACTCTTGCGATAGTTCGAGTGCTCCTTCCGAGAAGATATGGGCCATGGACGTGAGAAGCTCTCTTCGCACTGGTGATGCAGCTCATAGACCAGGATGGTGCATCCGTGGGTGACCATCAAGTATCGACCGCACATACTTACGGTGTAGACAATGTTTCGTTCGTCGCTGGTAGATATCGGAGAACCGCCGATGAAGTGCGTCTGGCCGATTTCGACGAAAGCGGGCTTGCTCCCGTTGTGACGCGGGCCGAGAGTGCATTCTCTCGTGAGCCATTTGGACATGACAGACGCTCGACTTGGCACCGACTTGTCCGTGTTGCTGGAAGCTTGATGGCCAAGTATGCTATTGATGCTCGAGGTCCACCCGCCCCTCGACAACATGCGGCCAAGAATAGTCTCATTCATGCCGGCTAAGAACCAGGAGCGGCAGGTGTGCCGTGAGGAATTGAAGTCGCATGGATCCAAGAGCAAGTAGATACCAAGCAATATCTCGATTGGGAGCCTTTGAGAAACTGGCAGCTGTTGCATCGCGTGATAGCCATGGCCATGGCTGTACAACAGCGGACGCTGGCCGGGCTGGTTCGTCATGGCAGAGTCAAGCCAGGGATCTGAGGTCTGAAATGTTGTCGAAGAAAAGATACCTAAAGAGAGTGATAGAGTAGAGACCGGGATAAAGGTTCAGGGCGTACTTCGGGCGATGATAGAAGTCCCTGGAACTGCTGGTGATGCAAGTGGTGACGTGGGTGATGTTGATGCTGGTCGGGGCTTGATGATTGAAGACGATGTTGTGGTCAAGAAATGAGTTCTCACGAGAACGGGGACTCGCGATTCTGCAAACTCATAAGTAGGATACAAGCTCTATGTACGCCTCTTGCCAGCAGGTGACTAAAAGTTTCTGGAGTTTCCATCTTGTCAGTTGCAGTGAGAAGGTGAAGAGATAACGGCAGGTGAGTGCTAGCCGTGTGGGTTGCAGGAAGGCAGAAAAGCAGTTGCCAACGACATCAAAGTGCCTGAAAGAGCAACATCTCCTGATTTAGATACCAGAGTGCTCCTACCCATCCAAAGCTGTCTTCATTAGAGAGAGTCTGGAGAACACAAAAACCGACAGGATGCACGGCAAAACTGAGGGGGAGGAGAAGTCGAGGAACCGAACAAGCTGAACATTCAAGTATGAGCCAGCTCCAGGGGATTATCAACAACTGGTCGGTTAGCTCAGTTGGTTAGAGCGTGGTACTAATATTTCACCTGAAATGTTGTGTAATGCCAAGGCCGGGAGTTCAAGCCTCCCACTGATCATTCTTTTGCTTTTTGATCGAGATAATTCGTACAAAACACCCATCACGTGCCCATATTATTATTAAAGACATTCTTCTCGCGATTTTCGTGAGTTTCTTGTTCAAAAACGTTGTTGTGGTGGTAGCTTTGTGCGACTCTCGGATCTACACTCATTTGCTGACTCATTCAGTACCTCGAGCGTGTCTGTGGACCTGAGAGGGTGCGTTCATGCAGTGGAAGACCCAGCCCGGAAAAGCATTTAAGGTGAAGAGACCGATTGTTCTTATGATTGGTTTTCCAACATGCATGAGTGAAGATGAATCTGAGTATTCTCAAATTCGTATTGTCTCGAGTCCTCAACCGTGAAGCTGGTGATGTCGATGAAAACGCTCAAATGCGACTGAAGATTTACTGGGGCTCCCCTGAAGATCCAGGGCAGGGCGCCTGACAGTTCCTCTGACAGGACCGGACCCAGTGGGGTTGTAATTCTGCTTTCGGTTAGCGAGATGCCCAGAGCTCCCGACCTGGCAGAAAAGCATTCATGGATGGCGGGGTAGCTCTGGGCGCAAGCGAATGGCATTCACCACGTAGTCAAGCTTAAAAAAAGAGTAGCAGCTGCAGTTGGGGGTTCATCCACGTCATCTGGCAGAGTTCAGCTGGAAACTGATTTTGAGCGCCGGATTGGGCAACCACAGAAAGATGCTGACGCAGATTTTGCCATTGACACTGACATGGAGAAGGAAAGAACGCGGGCACTGCACTTGCTGCTCCCAATGCGGCACGAGGCAAGATGTACCTTTGAATAGGTACCTTAAGGTAGGTAGCTAAGGAAAGAGAAGGTAGGAGGGAGAAATGAGGGAGGAGGAAGGAGGCATGGCCCGTCTGCGGGCAGCCAAGAAGGAGAAGGAAGGAGCTGACGCGCGCCTTTGCTTGGCTTCGTTCGTTCCCGACCCTCCTCCTTCTTCTCCTCTGTCTCTGCTCTCCCTCATCTTCATACAAAATCCCCTCAATTCGTACCACCAATTCCGATTAACTTTTCCATCCTGCTCTGCACCCTCTTCTTAGACACCTTTACAGAAGACTCTCCCCAAATACCTACTCAGCCAGCTACTGTCTCTCCACGGCATCAAACTCTACCCCTCAATTGCGTCCGACCGCCACAATGAAGCTCGCCGTCTTCAGCGCCAAGGCGTACGACAAGAAATACATCAATGCCGCCCACGACGTCAGGAAGGAAGAGTTCAAGAAGCATAACGAGAAGCTCGTCGACGACAACACTGACTTTGGCATCATCTACCACGACTTCTCCCTCTCCACCGAGACCGTCTCGCTCGTCAAAGATGTCGATGCCGTCTGCGTCTTTGTAAACGACTCCCTCACCGCCGACGTCGTCGAGGAGCTCCACAAGGCCGGCTGCAGAGCCATCCTCCTTCGCTGCGCAGGCTTCAACAACGTCGACCTTAAGACTGCCGAAAAGTTGGGCATCTTCGTTGCCAATGTCCCTTCCTACTCCCCCGAGGCTGTAGCCGAGTTCGCCGTCGCCCTGCTTCAATCCCTCAACCGACGCACCCACCGAGCCTACAACCGAACCCGCGAGGGCAACTTTAACCTCGATGGCCTTCTCGGCAAGACTGTACATGGCAAGACGGTGGGCATCATTGGCACCGGCAGGATTGGCGTTTCCATGGCCCGCATCATGAAGGGCTTCGGCTGCACACTATACGCCTTTGACCCCTACGAGTCAGACGCCTTCAAGGAGCTCGGCGAGTACCTGCCTCTGGAGGAGCTCCTTCCCAAGTGCGACTTCATCAGTTTGCACTGCCCTCTGATGGAAAAGACGAAGCATATCATCAACGAAAAGACGCTGAAGCAGATGAAGCCTGGCGCTATGCTCATCAACACATCTCGTGGCGGTCTCGTCGATACCAAATCTGTCGTTCACGCCCTCAAGACTAAGCATCTTGGCGGTCTGGCCCTGGACGTATACGAAGGCGAGGGAGATCTCTTCTACAATGACCACTCTGGTCATATTATCGACGACGACTTGCTGACCCGTTTGATGACCTTCCCCAACGTCCTCATCTGTGGCCACCAAGGTTTCTTCACCGAAGAAGCGCTGCAGGAGATCTCCGAGTGCACATTCCGCAACCTCGAAGACTTTATGCTGGGACGCAAGTGCGACAACTCTTTGGTCAAGGAAGAGTTTTTAATGTCTCGCAGAGAGTCTCTCCCGGTGCGTATTGTCTGAGGTTAGGAGAACCCTGCTGGTGGCTGGTGGGTATGAAACAAAGACCTGTAGATTGGTGAATACCCTTCTCTTCAACTCTTGAGCAAATAGATGGCTACAGATTACGACTTACGAATAGACGATTCCCTACATCCACTGTCGCATCGCTCCTCTCATGCAGATGAAACGTTTGACGAAGAACGGATTGATATTTCCAAATGGTTGCATTACCCACATGTGCATGCACTTGAACCCGACTGTTTCAATTTCAATTTTATTTAGGATTATGAACGGCGCCGGCCGTTGGGCTTTATATGGGTCTATAGTCTAAATGCCTTTCGCTCCTGGATTCCACTATCCAACGCCAGCCTCCTCTTTACGCCGAATAAACAAAGATTACCATCGAATCCAGGGCCGATAGCCAAGGCGCCAGGAACAAGTCGCTGAGATACAGCAGCTCTCTGGGTGTTTTGCTATGTATCGAGATGTATACATATCGAATATCCGAATCGCTTACGCGGGCTCAAAGGTGCGGGTAGGAGCCAACGCGTTCTTCGGCGGCTTGGCCTTTTCCTCATCGGATCCCGACGTCTCCTCGTCATCACCAGAATAGGCGTACTTGCTCCTGGCACGGATGCGGGCTCCGTAGACCCAGAAGAGGAAGGGAATCGCACAGCACGCGAGACCGAGGAAGGCGAGGAGGGACGAGGCCCACTGGTCGCCGAGGCGGTCATACATTTGCTCGGTGAAGAGGACGACGGCGGCGCCCCAGAAGGAGCGGATGCAGGTCTTTGCGGCGAGGGCGGAGGCGGCTTGGTGCTGGTAGGAGTCGACGAGGTAGTTGTTTGCCGAGTTGTACAAGAAGATGAAGCCGAAGCCGACGGGGAAGCCGCCGAACGCGGGGCCGGCCCAGTGGAGATCTGCGTAGGAGGTCCAGGCGAAGATGAAGAGGCCGATGGGGATGAACCAGCAGCTGAGCATCATGGGGATGAGGCGGGCCTCGGCGGGCGGGTGGCCGTTGTGCTTCGCGACGAGGGTGAGGTAGTGCTTGTTCACCCAAGGGGAACAGGCGGCCGACAAGAGAACGCCGACGGCGAGGGGGATAAACATGAGACCCGTGGAGGAGGCGGAGTAGCCCTTGCGCTTCTGGTAGATGATGGGGAAGGCGACGAAGAACATGTAGAGCAGGCCGTAGAGGACGGACATGTAGATGGAGATGAGGAAGACGATGAGCTCGCCAAAGAGGAGCTGGAAGGGCCGGATGAGGAAGATTCCCAGGCGCTCGCTGAAGGGACGCATGTCGATGTCCTGCTCCGTGACGTGGGTCGCGTCGCCGGTCTCCTTGCGCATTTTCGCGGCGCGGCGGGCGAGGATCGTGGGCGCGTAGGTCTCGGGGACGGTGAAGGAGATGAGGACCCAGACGACGAAGGCCATGATGAGCTGGATCCAGTACAGCCAGCGCCAGCCTGCCGCGTCGGAGAGGAAGCCTCCGACCAAGGGACCGATGGCGGGGCCGATGAAGGGCGCGGCGGAGAAGGCTGCCATCGGGACGCCGCGCTCCTCGTTGCGCCAGAGGTCTGCGAGGGTGCCGCCCACGAGGGTCATGGGCGCGGAGAAAGCAATGCCGTCGATGGCGCGGCAGACGAGTAAGGTGGCGAGGTTCTTGGCGACGGCGCAGGGGATGATGAAGATTACGGCGAGGAGGAGGGTGGACGCGTAAATCACCTGGCGGCCGTAGATTTCGGAAAGGGGCGCGAAGGCCATGGGACCGATGCCGAAGCCGATGACGAAGACGGTAATGGAGACGAGGGCGGCTTCCTCTGAGACGTGGAACTCTGCTGCGACACCCTCGATGTCGGCCGTAATTACGGAGGAGCAGAAGGCGACGACGAAGCAGGTCAGGGCGACGACCATTGTGCAGTACCACTTGTATGCCTTGCTCCAGTTCTTTGGGTTCTGGGGGTCGTTGGGGACGAAGGTGACGAGCTTGTAGTCTCCTCGGCCCGCGGGCGCTGCTGAGCCGTCGGCTGGGATCTCGCCATTGTGGGTTTCTACGCGGTACTCGTCGAGGTTTGCGTTGGGGGAGAGGGTGCGGTAGGGGAGGTTTACGTCCAGCTCTGGGTCGATTTCCTCCTTCGTCTTTACGGGGTGGAGGACGTTTGAGGCGATGGAGGAGCGGCGGTTCGGGCGGGCGGTGCCGGAGGGAGTGCGGGTGTGGGCGGATACCGGGGCGTATTGGGGTGCTGGTGCGGCGCCGTCTGAGTCTGAGGAGGAGCCTGGCGGTAGGGTGTGTGATGATGTTCTTGATGGCTGATCCATCTTTGCGGTTTGGGTGTGTTTGCTTTGGTTGATGTGGTTTGTCTTCAGGGGGTCCCTGGTGGGAAAGGGGGGTCTTGGGAGGGAAGTCTGAAGAGTTGAGGGCTATGGTGTATGGCCCGGTTTGAACACACGATAATCAAGGAATAGTAAGATACCCTCCTCGGATGAAAGGGGGGGCATCACCCTGACTTTATACTCGGCCTCATCTTGGGGAGAAGAGCCACACACGAAGGGAACTGAGTCACTGTTGGTGTGAGATGAACAAGGTGCCTTGCATCGGGAAAGATACGCACGCCCCTCCCCTGCACTCCATTGAATGGGTAAACAACCTGAGAGTAAGGGAACCGGTCGCAATTCGGGCTATGGCTTGGGAATGGGATACTTCGGCGGCGGCATTCGGGGTGGTGCCCCACTTATCTGGATGGACGGAGACCCGCTTTTCCCGTCCGAATCGCCCAACCCGGTTTATCGTCGTGTTCCATTGTTCTCCCTCCTACCCCCTTGTTTACTCTCAAAATTTGCAGTAGAGTCGAGTCTAGACGCAGCGATAACAGCATGGTCCGTGAGTCGTTCATGTGAGGGTCCTTTTGCTCTTTCTGAGTGTAATATACCTACACGCGTCGAGTTTTCGTGGACCACTTTCTCTGATTTTCTTTCCGCCGGGATGTTCCCCACCGCGGAAAGGCGAAGGGGCGTGTGTCAAAAATTGCGAGAACGGAGGGGTGACATTCCAAGCTGCCTAGAGAAAAAGAAACATGTGAGAGGTACGAGATAACGTGCTGCCCGTTCGCGCCGCCCTAGCAGATGCAATGGCAAGCTCCCTGCAGCTTTGGGTTTGGCGGCTCTGGTCGAAGAAGGTAGTGGACGGCCATCACGGGGAGGCGAGAGCCAAGAAGTCGGGTTTGGAGTGGGGGGCAGAGTAACAAAGTAACAGTTTGTGTGGCCAGCGCGAATAGAGCCTCTTCAAAATGTCGGCGGCGCGTTTGACACGAGCGCCGACTGTTGCTTTTTTGGCTTTGCTCTACGGAGGGCGGTACTGGTTCTAGGCGCGCGTGCAGGGGGCTTCTCTGACCTTTCATACTGTAAAGACTGAAGAGACTGAATCAGATTCTGAGGCTATCCCAGGATTGGACTAGAGCGAGAATGCTGGTCTGGTCTGGTCGACAGGCCGTGTTTGGAAAAAGCTTCATTTGAGGTTGGAAGAACACGCAGCGGGAACGGATCCAGCAAATCGTCATCGCAACTTCATCCGTAATTCTCATGGGGAAATGTCCACGGCGACCCCGGACTCAGCAGCTTTTGAGGGAAAAATAAATGCTATTCCAAGTTTGAGATCTCAGTCAGCCAAAACGAAACCCTCAATACGCTTCTCGTTCTTGTGAAAAGTACACACTTCTTCGCGGCTCTGCCCGGCGACGCAAAAATGCAAAAGCAGGACGGGTCTGGGAATAAGAGGGAATGACTTTTGGGCGGCACTAGAGCGTCTTGGCCTCTGGATGACAGGGGTAGCCCCAGTCCGACGTCCGCGATTGTGTGGCCTTCCCAGGGCTGAGGAACAGGGGGGAGAAATCTCGGGACGAGCTCGGGGTGTCGTCATACTAAATCAAACTTGAGGCGATCCATACCAAATTTTTCATCTCTGGATTTTTTTCGAGCCATAGCCGAGGACTTGTCAACAATTGAGCCTCAGAATCGTTGATACTTCTATCTGCGAAGCGATTCTCTTGTCTACTCCCCTTCTGGAGACGCCTGCTCACGATCTCTCTCCGTCTGAGCCTCGAATAGCTTCATTCATCCTTCTTTGTCGGTATTCAGAAGTCAAGAACCACGGGCTTTCGAAGCCTGGGATACAGCTAATTGTATCGGTTGACAAGTTGGTATTTACCGAAGTACCTTGCGAATTTACGATTCCAGAGCCGAGCTGGGCGCCTTTCGTCCGGGATGCACGGACCGCGTGGATACCCGGCGGGCTTGAAAGTGGGCCCTCCGGCCGGACACACAGTCAGTCACGCAGATGGCTTCCCGAGATTTCGTTGCTATGGAACTTGCCGTTGGGAGTGGCAGCTTCTTGACGAGTTGATCAGCTTGCCGCAAAACCCACACCTTTTTTCTTTGAAATTCTTTCTATGTGCCTCTAAAGTCTTGATGATTGGGGTCTCGTCAAGGGTAACCAGCCAAGGTACATACTTCAGCTGGGGATGCTCCTCTCCAGCCAACATGAACGACGCCGGTGAGGCTTCGAAGCACGATACCTTCAACGTAGCAACCAAGCAAGGACTTCAGCAAGTGGGTACCGCTGCAAAAAGGTTTTCTCGAATTCCAAGGATCTCAAGACTCTTAGTGCATGCATTTGATTACGCTTGCAAGATTGTGCTTATTCCCGCCGGACCCAAGTGGGGGGCCATGGGCAGGAACTCACTCCCTGATACCTTACTCACCACAGGCTTGCGTCCGCGGCGTTATCAGCGAGAAGCCCAAGTCACCTCGGTGTTTGGGCGTATCACCATCTCACTGATAGGCGACTAGGAAGTTCCGAAGTCGTGCTGCTACAGCCTACGGTGTACAGCTGAATTGTTCCCACATGGCGGTGGCCCCGATTCTCCTCCTAGATGTAAAACCCACGAGGCGAGCCAAGAGGTTAATAAGAGGGCCCAGCGGGCGTCTCTCGAGCAATTCGAGACCTTTTCAACTGGGCGACAGTC